TAAAACTCATTTTCTAATAGTCACAAAAGTAATTAACCAAGTGACAGTATAATTTTCAGTTTTTGTCATTTCTCTTTAGCAGAAACATGGAAATAAAAACAAACCGTTGGAAATGGAATTATGGTTATCTTACCTTCACACCCAAAGATGTACTTTCTTTTGTTCAGCTGTTCAATTTTCTGAAAGCTTCAATCCAGTCAGATGCATTCTGTATTTCTGAGTAGGGTTTTTCCCAATCCTCTGAGTACAATTGCACAGAAATCACAAGTCCTATCCCACAGAGCTTAGCAGTGTTGCTCAATAGAGACATGATTGGAATTTTGAGCTGAACGACTTAGTAGAGGTTACAATCCATTCTGTTTAGTTGAGGACAGGATAGGCACCTGAATCCAGGRTGCATGTCTTTATGACAATAAAAAGACCTAATTTCAGTCCCCATTTATCTGCCACTGCAGCAAGGACAGGGCACCCTAGAGTATAAATCATCTGCACAGGCTTCCACTGGTGGCCTACTGCAGTCAATCATAACTCGTCAGTCACAAGTACATATCCTGTATTCTACCCATAATTCTCCCTTCCTTCATTGTATAAACATCTCCATTGACTTCTGTTTGCTAATTGTTCAGCCGATTACTTTTGTCACAATAGTGACTCCTTTCTTTACCTGCTAGTTCCTGAACACAATGAATCTAAAGTGCCCTGGTTGCATGCCTGAAATCCTAGCAGCTCAAGAGGCTGAGGCAGGAGGATCACAAGTTCAAACCAGCCTCAGCAAAAGTGAGGTGCTAAGCAACTCAATGAGACCCTGTCTCTAAATAAAATACAAAATAGGGMTGAGGATATGGCTCAGTGGTTAAATACCCCTGAGTTCAATCACTGGTACCAAATAAAAGAAAAGAAAAAAGTGCCATGGTGACAGTCATTGCCTTTAGTTCTGTGAGACCCTCACTATCTCTCCTTGCTGGAGTAGACCAACTTTAAAGACCAAGAACTCCAACCTACAGAGCACAGAGATACACATAAGAAAGCATGATGCCCCCATGGGTCATTGGGAGTGATGTTAATGTTAAGTCCATTCCTTCCTCTATCCTCTGGTACTCAGACCTGTGTGTACCCTAACCTTCCAGAGCATTATCTTTAAGCTGGCACCTCATCTGTTCCTTCAGTAGTCCATTCCAGGGCTATCAGAGGACAGCTTATTCTAGATGATACAGTACATGGGTTTTTTGGTCATGAGCCTAATCCTATACTTCCTTCACTATGAAGTGGGTCCTCTGATCAGATATTATGTTGTGTGAATTTCCATTCCACTTAAGAAATCAGAAAAGTCCTCAGACAGTAGCAAATAGTGTTGATTATAGACCAGAAGACAAAAAAGCCAAGTTCATATCTTGAATAAGTGTATCAGTAGAAGGATGGATGAGGCCTTTGCAGAACAGAAATAGCCGAATGTCAACTTGGTCCAAAGAAACCAGTTGGTCTCCTGATGAAACTGTTCCTTACTGGGGGCTTGGTGTGGACCTCTATTGTTGGCAAGTCAGATTCAAAGATATCAGTAGCCAGATTAGCCATGAGAAAAGGTGGACCACCATACTGACAAATGAATAGTATTCCTCTCTGCACCACGGCCACTCTATCCGGGTGCCCATTGTGGCAACATTGGAGTGACCATTGAAAAAGCCTGGATAATATCAACTGGTCAAGTCATTTTTTCCCATGCACTGCTTGCAGCTCCAGCCATTAGGAAGCTCTCCCTTCTCTGTTTTCCCTCAAGGCTACCCTGAATGCAGCTGTAATGCAGTAYCTCTATTCTTTTCTTTGCAACAGAATAGTGACGAACCTTTGTCTTCAGCTTAAAYACCATAAATATGAGTGAAGCAGTGCCACTGTGCATCCCTGGTGGATGATATGGGCATCTGAGCTACTTGTTCCTTGCCTACTCATGGCAATCTGGTTTAGTGTGGACTTCATATATGATGTACTATTCCCATTTTTATGGTTTAGATATGAGGTGTTCTCCAAAAGGTCCTCATGTATGAAGTAATACAAAAATGTTCAAAGGTTAAATTATTGGGTTATAATGATCTTAACCTAATGTGTGCATTAATCCACCTGAGTGAATTAACTGGGTGGTAATCATAGGCAGGTATAGTGTRAGTGGAGGAGGGAGGTTACGGGAATGTACCTTTGGGGCTTAGGTTTTGTTCTTGTAGGGTAAAAGTCACTCTCTGTTCTTGATGCCATGTCCTGAGCAGCTTTCCTCCACCACATCCCACCACCTTATCTTGGTTCCTGAGCAAGAGTTAGCCATCTGTGACACCATGAGCTCCAAACAAACTTTCCTCCTCTAAAATTATTCTTGTCAGGTCTTTTGGTCACAGTGACGAAAAAGCTGATTAAAATACCCATATTCTGATGGATGGCCATTGGCTCTGCCTGACCTGACAAATTAGTATATCTAACAAAATCTAGCTCATATGGTAGTTCCAAATACTGTTGGTGCCCTGTTATCAATAATTCTATCTCTATCAAAGCTCAGAAATATTTCAGGAAAAAATTTTTTAAAAGACATTAATTTTAGTCTACAGTCGACTTGGCCTTGTCCAGAGATCTAGGACATGCATTTTGATTCTCCCACTCAGATGTCCATCAACTCCAAACTACACCTTTCCCCACTGACATTTCCAACACTGTAGATTCTGCCATATTATCTGTCTCAAGTAGGACAGTTATTATACTGCTGTGCACACAACCTTTCCTGCTTCAGACCCCTCCAAGCTGTCAGACTTCCATGCCATCCAGTAAATGAATCAAAGTAACATTCCTAGATGTACAAAGTGTTGTCTCCAAAAATTAAGGAGACCTTATTGATATCTTACCTCCTTATTTAAGGTAGGAAATGTAAGACACAGTAATTTATTTATTATGTGGGAATAAGAGAGTGGATATTTTCACAGCCCCTCACTACTGAGTTATTCAAAACTTTACTGATAGGACATGTTCCTGAATTTTCAATGTATCTCCCAATTTCCTGAGGGTATATTTCTTATTAAAGCCTCTAATATACTAGACATTTCTTTCTTGTCCTTCACAGTTATGTCATCAATATAAAGGGATCAAAGTGATATTCTGCAGAATTTTCAGATGGTCCAGGTCTCTTCAGACCCTATTATGACAGATCTTAGGAGAGTTAACATAGCCTTGGGCAAAATAGTAAATGAATAGCACTATCTGTTCCACATGAATGAAAACTCTTTCTGAGTCTCTTTTCTGATCAGATTACAAAAAAACACTCTTGCTAAATCAATTCCCTTGTGCCGTGTACCTGAGACCATACTCAACTATTCTAGTAAAGGTATCACATCTATTACTACAGGCACAATCAGGGCTGTTATTTGTTTGAGTTTGGGTCTGTCTATAGTTATTCTCCAGGATCCACCTAGTTTTCTGCAAGGACCAAATTGGTGAATTGAGGACTTCACTTTGGCCTTCCTGATGGGGGAACCAAAATGAGGTTACTTGAACTGCCAAGTACATCTATTCCAATTAATCATTCAAAGACTGGAGGAATAACTAAGGAGAATGACTGCAGACCTCATGGACYATCCTATTGTAGCCAGGATGTTATTTATTACCTGGCCCATAAGATTCTGCTCTAACAATGAGGCCATAATAACACTCAGATCTCTGGCTTTCGTGTCTACCCAGAAACTGTGCCTAACAGTCTTTTAAAGTGTCTGTGTCTTCCTCTATCCCCAGTTTATAATCATGCAAACAAATGCACAAAAGGCCCTCTGGGAAGGACTAGGGGAATCATACAGTTCATGCCACAGTGTTGCAAGAACTGGATCTGTAACCACTTCTCCTACTACTTATGCTGGCCTGTGAGGGAAGCACCACTGAGCTGTTTAGTAAAGCTGGGGTCCCTTTCACCACTTTAGGTCGTCTTAATGAATGGTATGTGCGGKTTCTCAAACCCTCTTATGAAAAAGATTTCTTTGGGGGTCTTCTGGCTTCATAAAGTATATCTATGCCCATTTCTTTTAACTATTTAGTCTTTACTATCTGTGGGAGCAAATTTCAGAATTTCCATTTTGTTTAAGAAGGACCATCACTTTCTCCAGGCTTCTAAGAACTACCCTAGAAATAAACTTGCCCTGCCTCTGGAGTTTTAGGAAGGCTGTTACATTCTATGCCTGAAAAAGTCATTGAATTCTTGCTTCTCCAGTCTTGGGTTCCAATTCTAACCATCAATCAGCAGATACTCTTTGAAGCACTGGTTTGTAAGATTCTGGATCACATAGTCAGTTAGTGGTATCTGCCATGGAAGGAAAAGAGGGAATTTTTAGACCACCCTCATAGTTTGCCATTTCTTTTGTAGACATCTGTACAACTTGTATAATCTGTAAATATAGGATTGAGTACAGGCAAGCTGCCCACAGAAGAACAAAGTTCTTGACCTCTGCCTCAGTTCCCTTATAGTCTAACCAACCAATTTAATTAAATTGATAGATCATGCACTTCATTTTTTCCAAGCACAGATGTCAAAAGGAGGATAAAGCAAAGGAACCTGAAGGTAGGGAGATAAGAAGACTAAGTTGTAAAATAAAGAGTGTAAGGGGGGGGTGGTATGGTTGCAAATGGTACACATTTAGCTTTTCTCAGTTTTTCCTTCTTCTGATTCTCACACAGTGTTTGTTTGGAATAGGACTAGATCCCCTAAAACTCTTCCTCTGTGATTTAAAAGATCAACTCTATGATTAGTTTGATTCCTCCTCAGTCATTGCTGAAATCCTTCCTAGGTGGTTCCATCTGAGTTGTAACAAACTCAAATAAGAAAAGTCAAAGGCCTCCTGTTGGCCTTAATTTTCGTCAGTTGCCATCTGACAAACCAAGAGAAAAAGAAGATCCCCCCAGGAATTCATTTCTACAGCAGTATAGCCATGGATAAGAGAAAGACTGCAGTTAAGCACTGTTTTGTTTTGTTTTGGTTTTGTTAGACTCTTTCACGGGACTGATCAACATCTTGACGGATATTATTTGGCGATTCACYGGAGACTTCCTTGCACCTGACCTGGTCTGCCGAGTGGTCCGCTATTTGCAGGTATGTAGCACCTTCCAGATGTGATGGGACAAACTAACACCAAAGTTAACATGTGGGTTTTTCCTAAGGAAAACAACATAAATTTTGCACTTCTATGCAACAAACTACTCACTTCCTCCTAGGAGAAAGAACAAGCAAAATTTGCAAGAGTTTTTTAATGTATTTCTTTTGTTAAAAAAATCATACTTAAAGAAAATACAAATAAGCAATTCCAAGAATAAAAAGTATTCGATATATCAAGCATTAAGTAAAAGTTATGGGTCAGTATTAAAATTTGTGACATATTATGGCTAAATAATCTCCAGAAAATTTGTTAATTATATCTATATTTTGCCTTCAAACTAACCCAATACTGGTTACTGCTTCTTTGGAAAAATTTTGACAGTTTGTTAGAAGATAAGCACTAACTTCCTATATAATCGCCAGCAAAATGCATTTTTAAAAATATATATTGACATTTATTTTCTCTTTTTAATTTAAATTTTATATTTATATTTTATTATTTATATTTTATTATTATTTTATTATTGACATTTCTTATTCTAATTTTCTAATTGAATTTCTTTTCTAAGCTGATTATCATCCCTTTTCAATTATTTTGTAACTAGGATACTTAATATTCTCTGATTTTTGCTAAGATTCATTTTTAAAGATATCTATACTCTGCCCATCAATATGCTTCAATGTGACATGTATTATACTATATAATTAATTTAAAATATTATATGTAGCATATTTGCATTATTAATACATCATGTATGTATATAATATAGATAAAGACAACTCAAYAGCATATGGAAAGAATGGACCATTTAATAACTAGTGTTAACATTGATGTGGCCTGTTTCTGATATYCTGAAATTATTTTCTAATAATTCATTTCTACTCTGATCCCAGTATTTCAGGTCTAAATTATTGCAGCTGTGTAGCTGTMTAGTGCATTTCTGGAACTCCTTACTAGATGCCACTTTTTGGCAGGATTATTTAGGATTTTTGTATCTGTATTCATTTAAAAATTATTATTTTTATTTGTTTCATCATTTTTATGAAATAAATTTAGTTATAGAGCTTTTTATTGTTTAGAAAATGAATAGAAAATAGTTCCAATTTTAATCTTTCTGTTTGCTCTGTATATAACCTTGAAAATACAGTAGGTGTAAAAGCCCCTACCACTATATGAGATCGGTGTGCTTTCTTGAGTAATTTTGAAAAACATTCGATTTCTTCTTGAGGATTTGTACCTCCTTGTAGATAAATGTGTTTCAACTGCTTACTGTATTAGTAATCAACTGCTGAGATACAAATTATGGCAAAACTTAGTGGCTTAAAACAATAAACATTTATTATCTCACAGTTTCAAAATGCAGGAAAAGAGTGATTGGGTAGGTATGGATGAAGTTTTATAAAGTTCAGCCAGATGTTTCATGAACCTACAGTCATTAGAAGGCTTGACTGGGGCTGGACACTTCATTTGCAAGGTGGTCACTCACACAGCAAGCAAGTTAATGCTTGCTCTAGGTAGAACACTCACCTCTCCACGCAGACCAATCCAGAAGTCTTAAGAGCCCTCACCACACAGCAGYGGGTTTTTCCTAGACCAAGGTGGAAGTGGCCACATGTTTTATGAACTAGTCTCCAAAGTCACAAAACCATCACTTTCACACCATTCTCTTGGTTATACAAATCAACTCTGATTCAGTAMGGGGAGAACAAACTCACAAGAGAGACTAAAACCAGGAAGCAAGAATTACTAGGGACATGTTAGAGGCTGGCAATCACACCTGCATTTTTGAAATGCATATCAGATACCATTTTTTTTCCTTATTGACAACTTAAAAATGTCCTCTTTACTCAGAAATATACATGTCTCTTCTAACTATATTTACAATGAACATTGAAATTGTATAYATAATAGAAAATATGGCTTGGTGGCATCACAAAATGTAGCAAAGAAACTCTTAATAATTATCTCCTCAGAAAGGCAACAAGAAACCTGACAAAAACTGTCAGAATCAAATTTTTAAGGACTCTGGAATTTAACCAAAAGCTTGCAACAACCAAGGGAGCATTTATTCATGAAAATGACTGAATCTTAGGAGGAAAAATTAGCTTTGTGGTGTTTTAGCTTGCATTATTCTCATCCCTCAGTATCCAGCTCTGCTGTAGCCTTGAAAATTAACAGTTCTCATTCCCAGTAAAAACACTCTGGCTGCCACCAGAGAGAGCAGAACAGGGCTAGAGCTCTTTCAAAGCTTYATTCCCCCAAATTTGCTAATATGTAATGTTCCTGAAGACTCTCAGAAGACCCCACTGACAAGGCTGTCTATATTTTACTTTATTCAGAACTTGCACATTGTGAAGCCCTTTTCCCTCTGAGAATTAAAAATATATATACAGGCAATCAATTAGCATAACAGATGCATGAMGTATTGGGAAACTCTTGAGGAAAACAATAGACTAAGAAAAATCTTAYAATCATAAGCTGGATAATGAGATTTCCATGGGGGGCTTTGAACATTTCTGACATATTCCTTAGATTCTGAAAGACCAAGTATATGCCASTGATGATGTCAGTCCTCACAAAGAAATAGAGAAGGCCCCAAGCTGCTACCTATGGTTGACATTGAAGCATTTGACAAAATTCAATATCATTTCGTGTAAAAAATGTGCAACAAATTAGCAATGGAAGGAAAATACCTCAACACAAGAAAGGCCATACATGATGAGGCGATGGCTAACGTTATACTCAACAGTAATAGTTTAAATGCTTTCTTTCTATGATTAGGAAGAGATGAGGATGCCYACTCTTACCAGTCCTATTCAGCATAGTATTAGAATCTTAGCATTTAAGCAACAGAAAGAAAGAAAAGGCTTCCAAAACAGAAATGAAGAAGTAAAAGTCACCTGTTTGCAGATAATATAATATTATATGTAGAAAACTCTAAAGGCTCCACCAAAAAACTAAATTAAAATAAAATTAATGAACAAATTTAGTAAAGTTGAAAGATACAAAATTCAATTTGCAAAGATCAGCAGCATATACTACTAATATATACTAGTGTAGATTATTGACTATACATAGCAAACTATCCAAAAAAGAAATCAAGAAAATAATCCCACTTATAATTGCTACAAATACATAGTAAAACGCTGAGGAATAAATTTAACTAAAGTGGTAAAATAACTGTACACTTTAATTTATAGAACACTGATTAAGGAAGTAGGAGAAAAAAAATGAATGGAAGGATATCTCATGTTCTTGTATTAGAAGAATTTATATTGGTAAAATGGTGTATACGACCCAAAGGGGTCTGCAKATTCAGTGCACCTCCAATCAAAATTCTAACAATATTTTTCACAGATGTGGAAAAAATATATAGGGAACCACAAAAGCTCAAAATAGTTAAATCAATCTTGAGCAAGAAATAAAAATCGGAAAACATCAAACTGCCTTTCAAAATATAATTCAAAGTTATAATCAAAACAGCATGACATTTGCATAAAAACAACTTATAGAACAAAGGATCAGTTTAGAGATCCCAGAAATAAATACATATATGTATGATCAATTCACTTTTGGCAAAGACACCCAGAATATAGAACAGTAAAGGATATTTTCTTCACTGAATGGCCCTGGGAAAACTGGATGTTCACATGCAGAAAAATGAAGTTAGGTTCTTACCACACACCATGAATGAAAATCAACTCAAAATGGATTGGGGAATTAAACATAAAACCTAGAATTATAAAACCTCTAGAAGAAAACATAATAGAAAATCTCCATAACATTTGTCTGTTATGGATTGTTTGTGCCCTAAAAGCACAAGTAACAAAAGCAGACACATAGGATTACATCAATCTAAAAATCTTTGCACAGCAAAGGAAACAATCAACAGAATGAATAAACAACCTATAGATTTGGAGAATATATTTACAAACTATATATCTGATAAAGGTTCTATTACCACAAGCAACTCAATATTATGAGCTATGGTATGGATATGGTTTAATTGTATCTCCCAAGGGTTCATGTGGATGTATCTCAGTGTGGAAGTATTGGAAGTGGTAGAAACTTCAATCGGTGGGCCTAGCAGGAGATATTTGAGTTCTTACAAGTGTGTTCATGGAAGGTAGACCTCTTGTAAGTCCCTAGTTCTTGTGAAAGGATTATCATAATGGGAACAAGCCTGGCTACACCCAGCTTTTGAATGAGAATCCTCCATAAATGTTCCACTATCTTTCATCTGTACCATGCTGTCTGATATTGAATCTCCAAAACGTATGAACTAAATAAACCTTCTTTCTTTATTCTATTGGCATAGTTATTCAGCTGTTGTTCAATTCTCTCCCTTTTTCCCCCCTCCCCCTTGCCCCTCATAACCTCTTATAATTTTGTGTATCATTGAAGGTCTCCTAAGCTAACTAATACAATGGGGGGGGGGGCTAATGAAAAAATGGGCAAATGACTTSAGTACCCATTTATCCAAAGAAGACATACAAATGGACAATGGGAATAAGAAACATCATTGATAATCATAGAAATACAAACTAAAACCATAATGAGATATTACCTCATTCCTGTTAGGATGGCTATTGCCAAAAAGAAAAAAAAATAATAACAAATGTTGGAAAGGGTGTGGAGAAAAGGAACCCTTGTACACTGTTGGTGGGAATGTAAAATTGTGAAGCTGCTATGAAAAACAGTATAGAGAATCCTTTTAAAATTAAAATTAGAACTATCATATGATCCAGAAATCCCACTTCTGGGTATATATTCAAAGGATATGAAATTAGAATGTCAAAGGGATACCCAGACTCTCATGTTCATTTTAGCATTTTTTCAAAATGCCTAGGATATAGAATTAATAAATGCTGATTAATCAATGAAAATATATAAAAATGTGATATATATATATATATATTTTTTTTTTCAAACATACATACACACACAATGAAATACTATTCAGTCTTAAAAAAGAGGGAGATCCTATTATCTGCCA